CAAGTGATCTGCCCACCTCAGCCTACCAAAGGGCTGAGATTACAGGCGTGAGCCACCATGCCTGGCCTGAAAAAGAATTTTAAAAAGCAATAAACATAAAAATTCATTCTAAGAACAAGGGGGGAAATCTGAATATGAACCAGGTATTATAGATTTTACAGATTTTGTGAAATGGAGAAAGGCATTGGCTGACTTTCCCAGAAATGGTTCTTGTGCTCTCAAAGACCCCGACACCACACTGTCACCCAGCCTGCTCAACTTACCTTCTCCTGTGGGCCTGCCTCGTAATAGTGGCAATTTTACCCTTTCTTTGCACAATTAGGTTTGTGCTTGCTTCTTACTTCTTCTCAATTATGTTTTTAGGGACACAGATGCTAGAGATTGATGAACACAAAAACTGGAATCATGGTTCCCTCTGAAGAGGAATGAGAGCATGCAACTGAAGAGGACTCGCAAAGGGCATACTAGTAGATATGCTGGGCTTCTTTTTATTTCTGGTCTTCAGACTACACGGATTTTATAGACTTGTGGTAGGCAACTTTTAAAGATGGTCCCTTGTCCCCACCTCTAGTTATACTATACGTGCCCTTGTGTAACCCCTCCCAACCCCCCACCCCAGCTTAAGTGAGGGCTAAACCTACTGACTTGCTTCTAACAGAATACAGCAAAAATGGTGGTTTGTAGCCAAGCATGGTGGTGCGCCCTGTAGTCGTAGCTACTTAGGAGGTTGAGGTGAAAGGATCGATCGCGCCCAGGAAGTTGAGGCTGCAATGAGCTACGATCATGCCACTGCACTCCAGCCTGAGTGACAGCGAGACCCTGTCTCAAAAAAAAGTGATGGGTTGTTATTTATTTGACTAGGTTATAAGACTGCGACTGCCATCTTGCTGCCTCTACTGCCTTCCTGTGTGCATATTTCCACAAAGCAAGCTGCCATGTTGAAAGGGCCTTTGTGACAAGGGTCTGAGGGTGGCCTCCAATCAGTGGGTCACAAGGAAAAGAATCGGGCCAACAGCCATGAGACAGCTAGGAAGCATATCCTTTCCCACCTGAGTCTTGAGACAACTATGGAAACCTTGACTGAAGCCCATGGGAGACCTTGAAGCAGAGGACTCAGTTGAGCCATGCCTGAATTCACAATCCATAGACATTAAGTTGGTTAGTCACTACATTTGGGGGTAATTTGTCACACAGAAAGAGAGCCAATACAACATACTCTGTACATAAAATTCACAATAAAAAATTTTAAGTTTGTAACTCTAAAAGTGTATATATGTATGTTGTTTTTGTTTTTTAGCAGTCTTGCTCCATGTCCCAGGCTGGAGAGCAGTGTGGTGCAATCTTGACTCACAGCAACCTCCGCACCAGAGCTCAGGTGATCCTCCCACCTCAGCCTCCCAAGTAGCTGGGACTACAGGCACAAACCACCAAGCCTGGCTAATTTTTCTCTTTTTTTGAGCTGGAGTCTCTCACTGTCACGCTGGCTGGAGTGCAGTGGAGCCATCTCGGCTCATTGCAACCTCCGCCTCCTGGGTTCAAGCGATTCTCCTGTCTCAGCCTCCCAAGTAGCTGGGATTACAGGCGTGAGCCACTGTGCCTGGTCCCCTGGCTAATTTTTCTATTTTTAATATAGACAGGGTTTTACCATGTTGCCCAGGCTGGTCTTAAACACCTGGGCTCAAGCGATCTGCGTGCATTGGCTTCCCGGGTGTTGGGATCATAGGCATGAGCCACCATGTCCATCCCAGAATATTTGTAACGGACTCAGAAGGGGGTCTATCACCAGTTACTGTGATATTTCTTCTAAGCCTTCTCTGGACTCTGGCCTAGGTACTGGGATACACTGGTGAAAAGCTAGACAAATCCCCGCTGGGTGTTTAGACATTAACAGAACTGTTCATGCATGTGCAGAGTATCTTTTTTTTTCTTTTTTTTGAGACGGAGTCTTGCTGTCACCCAGTCTGGTGTGCAGTGGTGCAATCTTGGCTCACTGCAACCTCTGCCTCTGGGGTTCAAGCAATTCTCGTGCTTCAGCCTCCCAAGTAGCTGAGATTACAGGTGCAACCCACTACGCCGGGCTAATTTTTGTATTTTTAGTAGAGGCGGAGTTTCCCCATGTTGGCCGGGGTGGTCTCAAACTCCTGATCTCAGGTGATCCACTCACAGCAAGCCTTTCAGTGTTGGGATTACAGGCATGAGCCACTGCGCCCAGCTGAGTATCTTAATTCATTGTGTAAGACATGGATATATACAGTAAACTCAGTTCTCAGCGTGGGCTAGGCAAACCCCCCTCAGCTTATAAATTGTTTCCTAAGGTTTCCATGAGCGCCTCCAACCAGCAGAAAAATGATGGGTTTTCCTGGTTACCTTTCATTCCAAGCACTTGTTTCTCAGGGTAGGCATTTGAGACCTTTCTGACCAGGTCCAATCTATACATGCTGATGATGTTACCAACTTGGCATCTGACCTGCCTACCCTTCAAAAGGTCTGTGGAGGGAGGACACGGTCTACTTTGGCACATAATTATCTTCCCAATTGTTGGGCATGGTGGTTTACACCTATAACCCCAGCACATTGGGAAAGAGTGCGGAGGATTGCTTGAGGCCAGTTAAGACTAACCTGGACAGGGTCTTGCTCTGTCACCCAGCTGGAGTGTGATCATGGCTCACTGCAGCCTTGACCTGTGGGCTCAAGGGATCCTCCCACCTCAGACACCTGAGTAGCTGGGACCACAGGCACATGCCTCCATACACAGCTTATTTTCTTATTTGTAGTCAAGGTACCCTCAATATTGCCCAGGCTGGTCTCAAAAGTCCTCAGAACATGGCATCCCAAAGTGCTGGGATTATAGCATAAGCCACATTGACTTACCTTTTTTTTTTGAGACAGTCTCTCACTCTAGTCTCCCAGGCTAGAGTGCAGTGGCACGATCTTAACTCACTGCAACCTGTCTCCTGGGTTCAAGCAATTCTGCCTCAGCCTCCCAAGTGGCAGGGATTACAGGCATGCACCACCATGCCCATCTAATTTTTATATTTTTAGTAGAGATGGGGTTTCCCTATGTTGGCCAGGCTGGTCTTCTGATCTCAAGTAATCCGCCCACCTTGGCCTCCCAATGCTGGGATTACAGGCCACCGCAGCCCAGCCCAAGTTTTGAGCTCTAATACCAGATGTCAGGGACTATACTGGGCACTGAAGATGTTTTAAAGAGAGATGGGACCGGGTGTGGGGCTCACGTTTGAAATCCTAGCGCGGACAGACTGCCCGAGGTCAGGAGTTCTAGACCTCCCTGGCCAATTCTGATCAGAACAGCCTAACATGGTAAACCCCCACTCTACTAAAAATACAAAAAATTAGCTGTTGTCGTGGCACATGCCTATAATCCCAGCTACTCCAGGTGCTGAGGCAGGCGAATTGGTATAAACCTAAGAGGCAGAGGTTGCAGTGAGCTGAGGTTGCATCATTGCACTCCAGCCTTGGGCAACAAAAGCAAAATTCCATCTCAAAAGTTCAATACTTGGATGAATAAAAGCAGTTAATGACTAGATATGGTGAGATGACTATTCCGTCACCTAGTGAAATGAGGAAGTACTAGGGATAATGAAAGCCCGTTTGATTTTTATTTCCACCTTGCGCTCAGGACCGAGTTAAAGTACTAAGACACTGAATGACGTCCCTCAGGGAATATGTAACCAGACTCCAGGACCGAGACACACAAGTGCTGGTGGCGGTAATTCACACAGAAAGAACCAGCCAGACAATAAAAATTGCAGAACACACCAAGTGATCAAATCTGACACCCTTAGGATAGGCAAATTTGATTGCTGTGTTAAAAACCCTAGAGGTCAGTTAAGATGGGCATTTGAGAGCTTTTCAGTTTAGACTGTCCTGACATACTGTTCAGCCTATACATCTAATTGCCAGCACTGTGTATTTAATTTCACGAAGAGTCAAGTCCTCAATCAAGGGAAGGCTATCCCTTTGACCAGATTACCACCACTGTTGAAGCTTAAGCTTTGTTACAGAAAAAGGCTGGGCACAGTGGCTCAACAACAGTTTGGGAAGCTGAGGCAGGAGGATCAGCTGAGGTCAGGAATTTGAGACCAGCCTCGCCAACAAGATGAAACCACATCTCTGCTAAAAACACAAAAATCAGCTGGACATAGTGGTGCAGCATGCCTGTATTCCCAGCTACTCAGGAGGCTGAGAAAGAGAATCACTTGAACCTGGAGGCAGCAGTTGCAGTGAGCCAAGATTGTGCCACTGCACTCCAGCCTGAGAGAAGAAAAAAAAAAAAAGCTATTAGCAGATTTCTCCATTTGTGACACTAATCATTTTCTTTTAAGATGGGGTTTCACCATATTGGTCAGACTGGTCTTGAACTCCTGACCTCAGGTGATCCACCCACCTCAGCTTCCCAAAGTGCTGGGATTAAAGGCGTGAGCCACCACCACGCCCAGCCACACTAGTCAAGAGAACACCTCTAAATGCATAAACTCATTGAACACTGGTCCAACCTCATATGTCTGGCTCCTTGCTTTTCCTGCCTCTGCCTACCTTCAAGAGATGGGGTCTCACTCTGACACCCAGGCTGGAGTCAGTGGCATGGTAATAGCTCACCACAGCCTTAACTCTGGGCTCAAGCAATCCTCCCACATCAGCCCCCTCAATCAGCTAGGACTACAAGCATGTACCACCAGGACAGGCTAATTATTTTTTGTAGAGACAGGGTGTCACTATGTTGTCCAGGCTGATCTTGACTCCTGGCCTCAAGTGATCTTCTGTCTCAGGTAACATACAGGCAGTGAGCCACCACGTCCAGCTGTTGCTTACATTTTCAACATTCCACTCAACAAACATTGAGACTTCCTGGGTCTGGAAAAGTTAAAAAAACAAAACCTAAGTACTATGTAGAATTAAGCAAACAAATGATGTTTCAGAAGTCGCCTACTACTGCTTAAAATAACACCTACATCAACACCCTAACTCAAACAAGGACAGACAATTGTTATTTAGTCTTTATTTCATAGTCATAAACTTAACCCAACTCTGCAATCCAGCTAGGCATGGAAGGGAACAAGGAAAACATGGAACCCAAAGGGAACTGCAGCGAGAGCACAGATTTTAGGATACTGCGAGCAAATGGGGTGGAGGGGTGCTCTCCTGAGCTACAGAAGGAATGGTCTGGTGGTTAAGATAAAACACAAGTCAAACTTATTAAAGTTGTCCACAGTCAGCAATGGTGATCTTCTTGCTGGTCTTGCCATTCCTGGACCCAAAGCGCTCCATGGCCTCCACTATATTCATGCCTTCTTTCACCTTGCCAAAGACCACATGCTTGCCATCCAACCTGGAAGGAGAACAATCACTGTGACTGGCAACCACAAACAAGCAGTCCCCATGTGGCATGAATCAAGACAAGGTAGCTTAAAAAGGGGGGAAAAAGAAAAAAAGACACCCAATCACATGCTATTAATAGTAACATAAAAGTAGCACTTAATTGGCCAGGAACAGTGGCTCACGCCTGTAATCCCACCACTTTGGGAGGCCAAGGAGACAGATCATGAGGTCAGGAGACCGAGACCATCCTAGCCAACATGGTAAAACTCCATCTCTACAAAATTACAAAAAATTAGCCAGGCATTGTGGCACACATCTGTATTCTCAGCTTCTCGGGAGGCCAAGGCAGGAGAATCACTTGAACCCAGCAAGTGGAGGTTGCAGTGTGCCCAGATTGTGCCACTGCACTCCAACCTGGGCAACAGAGTGAAACTCTCTCAAAAAATTAGCACTTAACCACCCAGCTAAGCACCCAGTTTCTATTACAGTATCCGACATTCTATATCACATTGGCTACATTTGTAGCTATGTATGCTCTTCTGGTATCTTAGAGATGAAAACATCTATGGAAAGAAAGGTTGAAAAAAACTAGTGTTTGCTCCCCCAGGGTTAACTCTTCATTTAGTCAGGTGGTTCGTGTGTGCCATGTTCTACCCTTACCACTCAGTCTTGACAGTGCAGATGAAAAACTGGGAACCGTTTGTGTTGGGTCCAGCATTTGCCATGGACAAGATGCCGGGACCTGTATGCTTTAGGATGAAGTTCTCATCATCAAATTTCTCCCCGTAGATGGACTTGCCACCAGTGCCATTATGGCGTGTGAAATCACCACCCTGTGAACATATAGAAAGCCGTCACTTCTGACAACATAACCATAAAGTATGCCAAGTCTGCAGGATTCAAACTATAAACCCAAGTTCAAACTAAATAGAAGGATTAAATAGAACCGAAATGGCAGAACAGCTCAGATACGTGTATCCTAAAATATTCTTGCTCAATCCCAAATTAAAGGAGAAATGTAAATAAAATTCAGTGAATTTCGTACCTGACACATAAACCCTGGAATAATTCTGTGAAAGCAGGAACCCTTATAACCAAATCCTTTCTCTCCAGTGCTCAGAGCACGAAAATTTTCTGTTAAAAAAAAAAAAAATTAAACATATATATATATACACACACACACACAAACACACTGTCACAAGTGGAACACCTTTGTTAAACTTAGAAAACAGACCAACCTGCTGTCTTTGGAACCTTGTCTGCAAACAGCTGTAAGAGAAAATTACAGTTAATTAACATCTGCTTAGATATTTTGTTGCTTAGTACCCATGTCTTTAGGGGGCTTCTGAGTCATAAATTCATTTTCTCACTACCAGAATACTTCTTCAGTAATTACTTTAAATCCCAAGTAAGAACTGCTCTTAATAGCCATAAGGCCCGGCTGGCGGTTGGGTTAAGAAACATGAAACCCAAACACATGCCAAAAATCCAGGACTAATCATGACTTAAATAGTGAGACCTCTATAAAGTGTCTCACACTTTTAGTACATCACACCTACTAATGAACAGATAAAGGGATTCTTTAATGATTATCACCAACCCCCCAACTTCACCTAGAACCTAAAGGTAAAATTCTAAAGAACAGCAAGTATTGCTGCACGATCAGGGGTAAATAGCTGCTGTTTTAGTCACTGGTAATGAAAATGCTACTACCTCCAATCTGTTAACATAGCTTTATGGATTAGATGAGCAGTCACTTCTTGGTTTCCAGGCCCCTTACCTAGTAGTGAGGTAAAAAATAAAAGATTGGTTTCTAGTACATCTGGCTTTGAACCTTTCTTGACTGTACAATACATTATGGCTAGACAGGTAGCTTAAATACCATAAACAGACAAGCACTTTCATAAAAACAGCTCGTTTACGAGTAGCATTTTTTTTTTTTTTTTAGATGGAGTCTCCCCGTCTCCCAGGCTGGAGTGCAGTGACATGATCTTGGTTCACTGCAACCTCTGCCTCCTGGGTTCAAGCGATTCTCTGCCTCAGCCTCCGAGTAGCTGGTGAAAAGTAGCATTTTATAAGCTATTCCAGAGATGTGACTCAATTAACTATTAGTATCCATGCACATTTCTTTTACAGCAATGTACTTTTTTTAGATGCTCTGTTGTCAGGCTGGAATGCAGTGGCGGGATCTCGGCTCACTGCAACCTCTGACTCCCTGGCTCAAGCGATTCTCCTGTCTCAGCCTCCCGAGTAGCTGGGACTACAGGCATGTGCCACTACACTGTGCTCATTTTTGTACTTTTAGTAGAGATGGGGTTTCACCATGTTGACCAGGATGCTCTTGACCTCCTGACCTCGTGATCCGCACACCTCGGGCTCCCAAAGTCCTGGGATTATAGGTGTGAGCCACCGCATCCAGCCAATGTACTTAGTTTTTAGGTATTTGTACCTAGAATGTATGGTCTTTTTTAAACATCAGCTTTTCTCAGCATATTTAAGTTACGATGGTGACTTTCGCTAAGGCCCTCATTGGCACTTCTCCCTCGATTCTCACCAAGACCTGCAGAAGTCCTTTCTTATTTCCCTTAGGCTCTCTGGCTAACCTGATGTCCAGCATTATGTCAGGCCAAGTTTCCAAGACAGCCTTTGTCACTTACCAGCTCTGACTACAGCGGTAGGTGGGGTGTGAATTAAGATGCAGTGTTTCAGCGCCTATTATGTGCCAGCCACTGTGGACAGGGCAGGCAACGAGAAAACCGCCCTGTCCTCACTGAATGAGGATCAATCTTTCAGAATCAGATCCCAAACTAACCACTGGTGGCCTTTTGAGAAATGGTTTAAAAGAATAAAAACACTAACATCCTATTTCACTACTCCTTAAGACCTAACCATGGTAACTGGAATGGAATCGCACCCAATATGCAACTGAGAAACGCTCCATGTTTAGATATTATGCTGTAATTACAACGGATCTTTAAGAACTCATTTAACACTCTCAAAACTAATTAGGTAATCACTAGTAATCCACCTTGGTCGGAAGAGGCCTGCCTAGTGGCCAGTCGCAACTTGCCTGCTAGGCAGAGGGACAAACGGGAGGGGCTCAAGAGCGCCTCCCCCGCCCGCGCCGTCACTGCAGAGGAAGGCGGTCCTTGGGCACCAGCAAAGGCAAGGCCCATTTTCACATTTCCGCTTAGGGGTGGGGGACAAGGGATGTTTGCAGCTCATTTATAAGTATTCCTATTTTATCCAAATGGAAGTTATTTCAAGTGGCAATCCATCACATCCTTTTTTATAACATGGTCTCCCAGGATCTACAGGACTGAGCATGGATGGTCTCACACCCCGCCTCGGTCCTTGAGAAAAACCCTCAAGCAAGCCGCTTCCCAGCTCAGGATGTAGAGCACCCTAGTGACCGCCGGGGAGCAGCTTCCTAGGAAGGCGGTCGGAAGCGCTCGCGAGTGCGCTTCTGGCTCCGCTCAGCGGCGCCCAGGCCGAGCCAGGGCGGAGCCCAACGGCTCTCTAGGCGCGGGCCGGAGCGCGGCCGCCAAGCACGTGCGTAGGGCAGGACAGGGCGCGGCCACACGGGGCGGCGAGTGGACGCGGACACGGGCCCCCTCCCCCAACGGCCGTGCAGCCGCCCCGCCTGCCTTTGTCCGCCGCCGCCCCGGCCTCCGCCCTGGCCTCCACCCCGCGCCTCGCGGACCTCCCAAAATGGCCCCTCGTCAGGAAATGGCGCCGCCGCCCGCCCGCGCTCGCCCCTCAAGAAGGGTAGGCCAGCGCCCGGGCTCTCAGGGAGCCACCACCCTCCCCGATCCCCGTCCGCTTTCTGGACCCCACTCCCGCACGCCGCTGCCCGCCCGACCTCGAAAGAGACGCGGCCCAAGGGCTCGCCGTCGACGGCAATGTCGAAGAACACGGTGGGGTTGACCATGGCTGATACTAGAAGGCTCCAGGCGGCGGCGGCGTCTGCAAAGCGGCACGAGCGTGGACTCCCGCCCCTTTTATACCAGGTTCGGCCCCGCCCGCAACTTGGTCTCGTGCCTCGGCTCTGACCAATCGCGTCTGCGACTTGGCCAGAGTGACAGTCCTGATGGCCCATGGACGGAAGCCGGCGCTGGTGGGGACGGCACGGGAGGCGCGCGTGCGCGCTAAGGCGCGGAGGCAGGTTCCCGCCCGCGGGCTCCGTCGCGATGGCTGCGGCATGGGACTCGGGGCGGGGCGGCAGCGCCCGGCGCGGGGTACGGGGGATGGGTCAGTGCAGAACGGGGGTGGGCAGCATGGCGCGCGCGCGCGAGCACGCGGGTGACCGGAGTGCAACGGCTCATCGGCAGTTGTCAAGCGACGAGGCGCGTCTCCCCATTGCACAGAGGGGGCAACTGAGGCGAACGAAGGCCTCAAGGTCGCGCCCGCCAGTCAAGGTTGACTGGGGTCCTGTGCCCAGTCCCTGCGGCTCCGCTAGCGGAAATGGGAATGGCGCGTACCCGAGACCGAGGAGCAGCCTTGCATCCGCATTCCGCGCGGGCGACCACCGCGTCGCGTCCGGCCTGGCCATGTTAGGAAGGAGGTTGCCTTTGAGCATCGCTGTTTTCTCTAACGAGCTGGGACAGGAGCAGTCCCCGGTTTTGAGAGATTATGAAATACTTTCAAAATGCCCTACTTTCCGAAAATATCTTACACTCTGCTTGAATCTTCAAGAGTAAGCCATTAAAATAGGAGCCTGGCCAGGATCTTACCTGTGAGGATGCGTTGTGCACATTTTACCCTTTCTTATTCTTTTAAAATCTCTGCTCCTGGTCCTTCCTTGCCCCCCGCCCAGCTCCCACCGCCCCCGTCACCGACTGAATTGTGCTTTGATTTCTGGGTGAAAGATAAGCTACAATTTAAAAGCGAATTTCTTCAGGCAAAGACATTCGTAATACTTGTATTTTTTTTTTCTTTTTTTTGAGACGGAGTTTCACTCACGTTACCCAGGCTGGAGTGCAATGGCGCGATCTCGGCTCACCGCAACCTCCGCCTCTGGGTTCAGGCAATTCTCCTGCCTCAGCCTCCTGAGTAGCTGGGATTACAGGCACGCACCACCATGCCCAGCTAATGTTTTGTACTTTTAGTAGAGACGGGGTTTCACCATGTTGACCAGGTTGGTCTCGATCTCTTGACATCGTGATCCACCCGCCTCGGCCTCCCAAAGTGCTGGGCTTACAGGCTTGAGCCACCGCGCCCGGCTGTAATACTTGTATTAAAATGCACTTATAGGCCAGGCGTGGTGGCTCATGTCTGGCGCTTTAGGAGGCGGGGAGGCCAAGGCTGCGGAGGATCGCTTCAGCCCAGGGGTTTGACACCAGCCACCATCCTGGGCATCTTAGAGAGACCCCGCCTCTACAAAAAAAAAAAAAAAAAAGTAAAATTAGCTGGGCGTGGTGGCGCTTGCTATTCAGGAGAATAGGCGGAGAGGATTGCTTGAGCCAGGAGATCGAGGCTGCAGCGGGCGGTGATTGCACCACTGCATTCCAGCCAGGACAACAGAATGTGACCCTGTCTCAAAAAACAAAATAGGCCAGGCGCGGTGGCTCACCCCTGTAATCCCAGCACTTTGGGAGGCCAAGGCGGGCGAATCACCTGAGGTCAGGAGTTCGAGACCAGCCTGTCCAGCATGGTGAAACCACATCTCTACTAAAAAATAGAAAATTGGCAGGGAAGGGTGGCTCCTGTCTGTAGTCCCAGCTACCCAGGAGGCTGAGGCAGGAGAATCGCTGGAACCCAGGAGGCAGAGGTTGCAGTGAGCCGAAATCTCGCCACCATACTCCAGTCTGGGCGACAGAGTGAGATTCCGTCTCTAAATAAATAAATAAAATAAAACGCGCCGGGCGCGGTGGCTCAAGCCTGTAATCCCAGCATTGTGGGAGGCCGAGGCGGGTGGATCACGAGGTCAAGAGATCGAGACCATCCTGGTCAACATGGTGAAACCCCGTCTCTACTAAAAATACAAAAAAATTAGCTGGGCATGGTGGCGCGTGCCTGTAATCCCAGCGACTCAGGAGGCTGGGGCAGGAGAATTGCCTGAGCCCGGGAGGCGGAGGTTGCGGTGAGCCGACATCGCGCCATTGCACTCCAGCCTGCGTAAGGAGCGAAACTCCGTCTAAATAAATAAATAAATAAATAAAATAAAACGCACTTAATGTGACTGGTGTTTTGTTCAGAAAGCCTTACAAGGGAATTGATGCATCCTGGGTGTCACTTAAGTTGCAATGTTAAGGATATTATTTAATGTTTCTTTTGTTTTTTTGAGACAAGGCCTCACTCTGTCACCTAGGCTGGAGTATAGTGGTATGTTATCATCTCATGGCAACCTCCACCTCCCGGGCTCAAGTGAGCCTCCCACCTTAGCCCCCCCAGTAGCTGGGACTACTGGGACTACAGGTGTGCACCACCACACCCAGCTGATTTTTTTTTCCTTGTATTTTTTGTAAAGAAGGAGTTTCGCCACATTGCCCAGGCTGGTGTCTTACTCCCAGATTCACGCGATCTGCCCGCCTCAGCCTCCCAAAAGTGCTGAGATTACAGGCGTGAGCTGCTGTGCCCAGAGGTTACTTAATGTTTCTAAAACTCAGTTTCTTCATCTGCATAATTAGGATAGGGTTGTGGTGAGACAAAAATGAGAATTCATCTAATAGATGATGTCCAGTTTCTGGCCTCTTGCCATTATTATTAATAACCATGAGCCAACATGTGTTAGGAATTTATTTGTTTATTTGAGATAGGGTCTCCCTCTGTTGGTTAGTCTGGAGTGCAGTGGTGCAACCCTAGCTCACTGTAGCCTCGAACTCTTGGACTCAAGCAGTCCTCCCTCCTCAGCCTCCCAAATGGCTAGGACTACAGGCACAAGACACTGTGCCAGATAATTTTAAATTTTTTTTCAGAAACTAGATCTGGCTGTGTTGTTAGGGCTGGTCTTGAATTCCAGGGCTTAAAGGATCCTCCCACCTTGGCCTCCCAAAGTGCTGGCATTACAGGCATGAATTGCCATGCCAAGCCTGTGTTAGAAATTTAGAGTATGTTGTTTTGGTCTCACAACCACCCTGCTATCCCCATTTTACAGATATGTAAAGTATCTGGCTCCTTGTTCAGAGTAATCGCTTATGAGTTAGCAAAGCCAAACTGGAAACTGCTTTTTTTTCCCCATTCCACATCACTTGATGCTTTGTGATCTTTTTTATTTATTCCTTTTTTTTTTTTTTTTGAGACGGAGTTTCGCTCTTGTTACCCAGGCTGGAGTGCAATGGCACAATCTCGGCTCACCACAACCTCTGCCTCCCAGGTTCAAGCGATTCTCCTGCCTCAGCCTCCTGAGTAGCTGGGATTATAGGCATGCACCACCAAGCCTGGCTAATTGCCCAGCTAGTTTTTTATTTTTAGTAGAGACAGGGTTTCTTCATGTTGGTCAGGCTGATCTTGAACTCCCAAACTCAGGTGATCCACCCGCCTCAGCTTCCCAAAGTGCCGGGATTACAGGCATGAGCCACCATGCCCAGCCAATGCTTCCTAATCTTAAGGAAGCCATTTGTCCTCATCTGAGATTGAAAACAATTGCCCAAGGCCTTCAGGCATAAATTCTTTCAATTTCTCTCTCCTCCATTTTAAACCTAGAGCAGTTAGGAGCTCCTCCTAAGAAGTAAATGAATGAGGCAAGGTGAGGTAGCTCACACCTGTAATCCCAGCACTTTGGGAGGCCGAGACGGGTGGGTTGTTTGAGGTCAGGAGTTCAAAACCCACTAGGCCAACATGATGAAACCCTGTCTCTACTAAAAATACAAAAATTAGCCGGGCGGTAGTGGCATGCACCTGTTATCCTGGCTACTCAGGAGGCTGAGGCAGGAGAATGGCTTAAGCCTGGGAGGAGGAGGTTGCATGAGCTGAGATCGTACCACTGCACTCCAGCCTAGGGGACAGAGTGAGACTCCATCTGAAAAAAAAAAAGTAAATGAATGTATGAATGAATAATAAAAGAAATAGTCTGGGCACTGTGGCTCACACCTATAATGCCAGCACTTTGGGAGGCTAAGGCAGAAGGATCACTTGAGCCCAGGAGTTCAGCACCAGCCTGGGCAACAGAGGGAAATCCTGCTTCTACCCAAAAAAACAAATTGCAGAGATCTATATATATATATATATATATATGGCATTTTATTTTATTTTATTATTTATTTGAAATGAAGTTTCACTCTTGTTGCCCAGGCTGGAGTGCAATGGCGAGATCTCAGCTCACCGCAACCTGTACCTCCCAGGTTCAAGCGATTCTCCTGCCTCAGCCTCCCAAGTAGCTGAGATTACAGGCATGAACCACCATGCCCGGCTAATTTTGTATTTTTAGTAGAGATGGGGATTCATCATGTTGATCAGGCTGGTCTTGAACTCCTGACGTCAGGTGATCTACCCCCCTCAGCCTCCCAAGGTTATGGAATTACATGTGTGAGCCACCACGCCCAACCAAAAAAGTTTTATAAATAAAAATTAGCCAAGTACGGTGGTGCACACCTGTAGT